AGGAGGGCCTTGAGGACGACGTGCAGATCGACATCCACAACCTCGACCCTCCCCTTGGCCATATTGGATAGTGCCCCACCCCGATCTTTCGCTTTGTAATTTTTTGAACAAGTTTTTTGCCCGATGAATTGTACAATGTTTTGCTGCTATTGAATGAACTTTGCCTTTTAGTAATGAACTGTGAATTAGTTATCCTGATCTCGTGCGCTAAACGATAATCGCGTGAGGTAATTAGTCACCCCGACCCCTGGGACTTTAAACATCTCGAGCAAACAAACTCTGAAAAGAAGTAACTTATACATGCGATGTCCTCGGGGGATTGATATACTCGTGGACTTCACAACTCGAGCACACTAACTCTAAAAAGAAGTAACTTATGCATGCGACGTCCTCGAGGGATTGATATACTCGAGGACTTCACAACTCGAGCACTTTAACTCTAAAAAGAAGTAACTTACTCATGTGACGTCCTCGGGGGATTGATATACTCGAGGACTTTACAACTCGAGACTTACTCATGCGATATTCTCGGGGGATTGATATACTCGAGGATTTCACAACTCGAGCACATTAACTCTAAAAAGAAAGAAGTAATTTACTCACGCGATGTCCTCGGGGATTTGCCAAAAAAGATGGAGGACTTTTATATGCAACCGAGCATAACGATTTGTGCTCGAGTATGTTGTATGGTCAATTTTTTTCCATGAGTGGTTGTGTAGGCCAAGGCTTTGGGTACTTGTTCGGGGTAGGGCTTTTTAGGTGCTTGCGCGGGACAAGACTTTTTAGGTGCTTGCTCGGGGCAAGGCTTTTTGTGCTTGCACGGGGCAGTGCTTTTTAGGTGCTTGCGCGGGGCAAGGCTTTGAGTGCTTGCACGGGGCAATGCTTTTTAGGTGTTTGCGCGGAGTAAGGCTTTTTGAGTTGCTTGCGCAGGGGCAAGGCTTTGAGTACTTGCACGGAGTAAGGCTTTTGATAGCGAGATCACATTTCAATGAATAGCTTAATTTTTATTGTACTTTGAAAATAGACTTGGTGCGCAGGCCTGACTACTGGAAATTGATTACCTGTAATATATTTTTAAATTCTCGGCGTTCCATTGTCTTGGAAGTGGTCTTCCTAATGTATTTCTTAAACTGTACATACCTCCTTAAAGATGTCGTATGACTTCGAAGGGCCCTTCCCAAACTGGTCCTAGCTCGCCCGGGGCATAACCTGCTGCTTCGGCCCTTCTTAACACAAGGTCTCCGACTCTGAATCTCCACGTCCTTACTTTTTTATTGAAATACTTTGCTATTTTATTTTGGTAAGAGGTCATTCTTAAAACTGCCTGATCACGAACTTCTTCCAAGAGGTCGAGATGTTCAGTAGTGTGCCCTGCATCTTCGGGCTCAAGTCTTCTTTGGTTGGGCAACCTGACTTCAACAGGGATGATGGCCTCAATACCGAAGGCCAACATGAAGGGGGTTTCCCCCGTAGTGGTTCTGTGGGGCATTCTATATGTCCAAAGTATGGAAAGTAACTCATCAGACCAGGAACCTCTTGCATCTCCGATCCTAGTACGGAGGTCTTGCAATATAATCCGATTGGTCACTTCGGCAAGACCATTACTTTGAGGATGGGAAACTGATGTCAAACAGTGATCGACCCCCAAGTTGGAGCAGAAGTTTTTAAATTGTTCATTGTCAAATTGCCTACCATTATCAGTTATGAGGACTTTCGGTATCCCGAACCTGCATATGATGGACCTCCAAATGAAACTTCTCAACTTAGCCTCTGAAATTGTTGCTAAAGGCTCGACCTCCACCCACTTAGTGAAATATTCTATAGCCACCGCCACAAACTTCAATTGGCCCCTAGCTATTGGAAAGGGACAAAGGATGTCAATTCCCCATTGCTCAAACAGGGTCGTGCAACTAATGCTAGTGAGGTCTTCTGCGGGAGAGTGGATGATATTGTCAAATCTCTGGCACTTGTCACATTTCTTGACATATTCGTGGGCGTCTTTCTTCATGGTAGGCCAATAATATCCATACCTTATGAGCTTGAAGGCTAATGCCCGAGCTCCTTGATGGTTTCCACATATCCCTTCATGAACTTCTTCTAGGGCTTGGGATGATTCGGAAGGCTTAAGGCATCTGAGGTATGGAAGTGTGAGGTTTCTACGAAATAGAACTCCCCCAAGCATGCAATACCTTGGAGCTTTGGATCGGATGCTTCTTGCTTCTCGAGGATCTTCTGGAAGATTGCCATGTTTTATGAAGTCCACTATTGGATCTATCCACGATGGTTCATTATCAATATCCATGACGCCTACGGTCTGATTGATGCTTGGCTCGGATACAATTCTAATGTGGACTGTCCTGTTAAGTCCATCTATTCCTATGAACATCAATCTTGACAAGGCATTAGCCTTATAATTCTCAGCCCGAGTAATCTTCACAATTTCACAACCCTTGAACTTTCTCTGGAGATCATGCACTTTCAAGCAGTATAAGCTCATCTTTTCGTCTTTCCTATCGAACATCCCATCAATTAGCGCAACCACCAACTGGGAATCACTGTAAATTTTGATGTTTTCAAGCTCAAGATTGATAGCAAGTTCCATGGCTATGATGACGGTCTCATACTCTGCTTCATTATTGGTTGCCTCAAATTCGAACTTGAGTGCACATTGAATGTCTATGAGCGTGTCTGGGCTTATGATTATGACCCCTACACCCGAGCCCAAGGAGTTTGATTCTCCATCTACGAAAATTTGCCAAACACCTGTGGAAGAGCTCGAGCTACCATCTGGCCCTCGAGGCCTTGGGGTGAGTTCTACAATAAAATCAGCTAAGGCCTGAGCTTTGATAGATGGTCGGGGCTTGAACTCTATGTCAAATTCTTCGAGTTCAATTGTCCACTTCAATAATCTTCCTGAGACGTCTGGTTTCTGAAGAATGTGTTTTAGAGGTTGATTGACGAGCACTACAATAGGATATGACTGAAAATATTGGCGAAGCTTTCGTGCTGCCACTATCAATGCAAGGGCAAGTTGTTCTGCCAAAGTGTATCTTGTTTCTGCATCAAGTGGGACTTTGCTTACGTAATAAATAGGTTGCTGGGCTAGGGATGTCAAACGGGCCGAGCGGCTCGTCGGCTCAGTCGCTCGGCTCGTGGGCCGCTCGAGCTCGTCAAATGACGAGCCCGAACCGAGCAGGGGGCTCGATCCCACGAGCCGTTTTGATGAGCCCACGAGCTCGGCTCGTGGGCTCGGCTCGTCAAATGACGAGCCCGAGCCGAGCAGGGGGCTCGATCCCACGAGCCGTTTTGATGAGCCCACGAGCCGAGCGGCTCGTGGGCTCGTCCAAAAAATTGAATTTTTTAAAAAAAGGTGCAAAAAAATTAAAAAAACACTAGCTCGTGGCTCGTGAGCTCACGAGCTCGTGGGTCGAGCTGAGCTCGCCCTCGAGCAACGAGCCGAGCTCGTGGTTTAAAGGGCAGAGCCGATTGCCATTCCTATGCTGGGTCCTGTTAACCTCTTTCACCAAGACACCACTTACTGCATTCTGAAACACAACCAAATACAAATACAAAGTATCCCCAAGGTCGGGTTTGGTGAGGATAGGAGGAGATTTCAATGTTTGTTTGAGCTCCTGAAAAGCCTTCTCGCACTCCTCATTCCATTCAAAGCAATGATTTTCCCTGAGGGCTTTGAAGAAGGGGAAGCGCCTGTCTGCTGCTCGGGACATGAACCTGTTTAACGCGGATACCCTGCCTGTCAACTTTTGAACTTCTTTCTTGGTCCTTAGTACTTCCATTGTTGCCAAAGCCTGAATCTTATCGGGGTTGGCCTTAATCGCCCGATGAGTGATCATGAAACCCAAAAACTTTCTTGAAGCTACGCCGAATACACACTTCTCTGGATTGAGCTTCATCTTATATTTTCGTAGGGTGACGAACACTTTCTCAAGGTCGGATATGTGTTGCTCTACCTTCTTACTCTTTACAACCATGTCGTCCACATAGGCCTCGATATTGTTTCCTATCAAGTCAGCGAAGACTTTGTTGATGAGCTTCTGATATGTCGCCCCAGCATTTTTCAACCCAAATGGCATCACCATATAGCAATATATGGCTGAATCGGCCATGAATGACGTCTTCTCTTGGTCTTCTTCAGCCATGAGGACTTGATGATACCCTGAGAATGCATCTAAGAAGTTGTACAACTTATGTCCGGATATGCTATCCATAAGATTGTCAATCCTGGGTAGCGGATAACTGTCTTTCGGGCACGCCTTATTAAGATTTGTGAAGTCAAAACAGATCCTTTATTTACCACTGGCCTTTTTAACAAGAACAACATTAACGAGCCAATCGGGGTATTGGACTTCCCTTATGAACCCTGCTTTCACCAATTTGCCTACTTCTTCCTGAATGACCACATGTCTTTTCGGCGCAAACTGCCTCTTCCTTTACTTAACAGGTTTGGCCCCTGGGCTGATATTGAGTTTATGGACATGTACTTCTGGGTCTATCCCGAGCATATCCTCCACCTTCCATTCAAAAATATCGATGTTGCGGGTCAGACAATCGATGATTTCCTTCCGGAGGTTGGCCTGGAGATCCCAACCAATAGTAACGGCTTTCCCGTGCTCGAGCTCAACCACTTCCAATTCCTCAACGGGGGCCAATCTGCCCCTTGGCTCGAGCTCGAGGTTTGAAAGTTGCATGATGTCTGTACTCATTCCTCAGATGCTAGTAACATAGTAATGTCTGGCAGCCGTTTGGTTTTCTCTAACTACTCTGATGCAATGACCTGTGGGGAACTTCATGGCAAGGTGGAAAGTTGATACAATAGCCTGGATCTTGTTCGGTAGGGGTCTTCCCAGAATGATGTTGTAGGCCATTGGGGTATTAACCACTTGGAATGGTGTGATCTTCGTCACTTGTGTATTACTAGATCCTAATGTACGCGGGAGCTCGACGATGCCCTCAAGGATAATGACTCCACCACCAAATTCCTATAGAGGAGTTTTTACTGCTTTGAGCTGTTTGGGAGAGATCCCCATTTTGGCGAAAGCCTCCTGGGAGAGTATATTTGCTGCACTCCCATTATCAACCAGGATCCTCTTTACTTCGAAGTTAGCCACAACTGCAGAGACGACCAAGGCATCGTCGTGAGGATATGATATTCCTTCCATATCTCTTGCTCCAAAAGTGATGTCTCTGACTTCATCACGGGATTCCATTGGGGTATGAGCATGTTGGCGGGCATACTGCTTTCGCCCACTATTTGTGTCTCCTCCAGATGTTATGCCCCCGACGATAATATTAATTGTCCCGGTAGTGGGTTGAGCATTGCTTCCGGTTCCAAGCTCTTTCCGATTGTCACGATCATTCCTCGGGCATTTATCATGTCCAATGTAATTCCTTAAGAATCCTCTTTTAATGAGAGCTTCGATCTCCCGCTGTAAAACTTGGCAATCCTCCGTGGTATACCCATGATCCCGATGAAATTCGTAATATTTGCTCCTATTTCTTGTGTCACGAGGCGACTTTATCCTTGAAGGCCACTTTAATTCTTTCATATCCTTAATCGCCATCAAGATGTTTATTTTAGAGGTGTTCAACCGAGTTAGAGATCCTGAGGGCGCCTCATTTCTACGCTTTTCTCGAGAATGCTCATGCTGGGGAACGGGATCATGTTGCCTCTTGTTTTCGACCTTTTCATGAAGGGGACCAGCTCTCCTTGGATTCAATGTCTCCTCCATATTGATGTACTTTTCAGCTCGGTTAAGGAGCTTGGTCACTGTCTGTGGTGGGGTCTTTGATAAAGACATTTTGAAGGCCTCACACCTTATGGCATAGGTGAGGGCAGAAACTGTTGCTGTAATATGGAGGTCGGGTATTTGAAGTCTTTCCTTGTTAAATCTTGTCATAAAACCTCGTAGGGTTTCATTCGGCCCCGTAGTTGTATGACGGAGGCTGCAGTCTTCCTGATTTGCTTGCTACTCGCAAAGAAGGCTGAGAACTTATCAACCAAATCTGAGAATGAGGCTATGGAGTTGGGCTCCAATGTCGAGAACCAATCCCTAGCAACATTAGTAAGTGTTTGTGGAAAGGCTTTGCACATAACCTGATCCGGTGCAACTTGCAAGTTCATGACATTAGTATATACATTGAGATGGTTGATGGGGTCGGACGTCCCATCATACTCTTTAATGCGGGGATATTTGAATCTGTTGGGCAAGGGATATGACAATATCTCTGGTGTGAATGGAATGTTAGGGGTGAAACCTGTTGGCCCCCAAGCACTCCGTTGCAGGCCAGCTGTAATTCCTTCTTGAATGATCCGAGCAATTTCACTGGAATCCATAGCGACCGATCTCGAGCCCGAGGCCATATTGTGAATACCCGAGGTTTCTACTCCGCCAGTTGCAGGGTTTGGTGGTCGTGCTCGAGCATCAGCCATAAAACGGCCATGCTCTACCTGTGTTGGCGACGGATGTAAATTTCTTTAACTTAACAGTTGCGTGAGCGTGGCCACCTGCTGATGAAGCTCTTCAAAGGCTTCGGTTGTGATGACCGCTGGCAGAGGTGCGGGCACTCTTGACGATTCTTCATGAGGAGCCGGTTGATCTTCGGCAGGTTAAGGGATGGGAGCGGATGAGTTTGCGAGGGGAAGACCTGATCGTGTGTTAACCATGGCTTTTGGTAGCCTTTCCCACAGACCGCGCCAATGATGCTACCAAAAATAGTACCTGTTGATTTTCCGAGCTTGATGATTTTGATTGAACACGATCGTAGTCTTCGATACCTGAAACAAAGGCAACGAGGTATGTTTTCGTCGCCCCTCCGATGCTTAAGTCAGAAGAGAATTATAGGTGTGAAGCTATAAACTGGAGAATAATGAGAAAACGTACCTAAATAATGGCCCAAAGTTCTATATTTATAGAGGTAGGTAGCGTACTCCTAGTAGGATTGTGCCAATTGAATTTTTTATCCAATGGAGTCCTATTTGTGAGGAACGTCCTACTCATAATGGAATTGTTTGACAAGTGGTGTAAGAGTTGATATAGAGTTATTGAGTGTTCGTTTGTTAGGCGCATAGGTCTAGAAGATCTGTTAATGGAATATGTTCTGAGGACATATTCTTGAGGACCATGGGGTGATTTTAATATTAGTATGAGTTTCCTCAAGGACCAAAATACCTCGAGGACTAGAAAGATCTTGAGGACATATGGCAAAAAAGTGAGCGGAGCACGTATGGAGTCCTCGGATATACAATATTGGTATAATCAGTATTCATTCAAGAACCCTCTTCTTTCTCCTCTTGATGTTATACACCACCACAGTTTTTAACCGAACCACCCTCAGATTCGATGAAGCCTATTCCCCTCTCTTAAGTGATTTCAACATTCAACGGTTACCCGACGACAAGTCTATTCGTCTCCTCCTTAATCGTTTTTCAGGTAACCATTTCATCTAAACGCTTAAACGGTTAGAGATGAGCCATGTCTCCCCCATAAAATTATCTGTATTTATGCATGTATCTATATGTTGGGAAAAATTTTGTGGGTTGGAAAAACTCTATTGGAAAATCTTGGAAAATTTGCGGCGGAATAGGTGTAAACGCGTTTTTTTTTTTTTTTTTTAACTTTGTAGTGTGTGTGTGTGTGTGTGTGAATATTTATATAGATATAAAAATGTGTATATATATTTTGGCTATTGAATTTACAAAAAAATCATATATACAATGTTCAGGTTCTGGAATTATATCATCTGATTATTACAAGTATGGTTTCTTCAGCGCAAGCATCAAGTTACCGGCAGAAAATACTGCTGGCATTGTCGTTGCATTCTATGTAAGTACAATTTTTCTTCTTCATGAAATTAATTTCTAGAGATTTAAAAGGGAGAAAGAGTAATTATTTAAATATATGTTTTCCTTTTTTAAATAATTCTTTACGATTAAGTATCAATTTGTTTCCATGTATGAATCTTGCATGTGGAAAATTAAGAAAATTAGGTTTCTCCCCATGTTCTCTATATTAAATCCTGTGAAAAAGAAAAAAGAAGATTTTTCTTTTATTTCGAAAATGTATGTCTAGATGATTAATAATTGAGACAAAATTTGTCGTAGACATCAAATGTAGACACATTTGAAAAGAATCGCAACGAATTTGACATCGAGTTTATGGGAAACGTAAAGGGGAAGCGGTGGAGGTTCCAAACGAACATGTATGGCAATGGAAGCACATCCCGCGGCAAGGAGGAGAGGTATCGATTGTGGTTCGATCCGAGCAAGGATTCTCATTGTTACAGCATTCTTTGGACGCCTAAGAACATCATGTAAGTTGCTTATAAAAAATCACTTGAGCTTAATTTGCAATTTTGGTTTGAATTCCACTTTTGTTACTCTTGAAATGTTGGTATAGATGCCGTATTCTAAACTTACTGTTCTTATCTCTTCGAAATTTTTTATTAACTTCAATACACTCGAGCAATGAACTTGATCATGAAATTTCAAATTAGGCAGCCACTTAAAAATATGGGTTTTCCCATCACTAAAACCCAAAATTTTTCTCTTAATAGCAAGCGATCGGTAGATTCACATCAGTAAATAAGCCAGTTGATTTCGTCAGCTGGTCAACTAAATTAAGCTCCCAAGGGAATTTTTTTTTTTCTGTCTCTCTTGAATCTTTGCTGTCTTCACAAAAACTGAAATAAGTTCATCAAAAGTTGATTTAAAGTTTGTTTTCAATAATTAGTTGCCTATCAAAGGCTGCAAGAAAACTGACTGAGAATTGTCTTCAATATGTTGTCCCCTCCACCCCCCATGAAACCATCAATGTTTGAAAATTAATTCAATTTGCAAGTTTAATTTAATAAAATTAAATTTTGGTTTATCCCTGGAATAAAGTGCTAGCTGTTCGGCTTCATCTATAAAGGTCACGGTTTATTTATCTCGTGTTTGATCTAGATGAAATTACCCTTATTTGCCACCACATGCGGTAAGCTCATTTTAGAACACATTCTTGAAATCTAATTACTCATTTGAGCCTTAAACATATCAAATTGCTTGTTTAAACTTTTTGGACTCTGAAACCATGTCAAGAGTAGTAGTTTAAACCTTAGAATTGACGCGGAATTTACTCTTAAGATAGAGAAGTGAAACCCTAACTTGTAAAATTAGGGTGAACAAATTCCTATGGCCTAGTACTTAAAGCATAATATTTCAAGAATACATAGGTAAATTAAATTTCTTAGATATTAAAAGATTTCCATAGTATTCAACGTTTTCGATTATTCCTATTTTAATTATATATTTCGTTTATAATCTGACAATATGAATATAATATACATTTCAAATTTTTACGTGGGCAAAGTTCCGACAAGAGAAATCGTTCGCAACGCAGCCATGGCTGGGGATTATCCATCAAAGCCAACGTCACTCTATGCCACCATATGGGATGCTTCAACTTGGGCCACAAATGGTGGCAAAGAAAAAGTAGACTACAAATATGAGCCCTTTGTGTCAGAATTCACAAACCTCGTACTTGAAGGCTGCATTGTCGATCCCATTGAGCAAATTTCATCAACAAACTGCACTGATAGAATTGCAAGTTTGCTTGCTAAAAAATACTCCACCATTACTCCCGAGGGTCGAAAATCGATGAAACGGTTCCGCGAAATGTTTATGTACTATTCGAGTTGTTATCACAATGTAAGGTATCCAATACCACCACCAGAATGTGTTGTGGTGGCTTCAGAAAGGGAGATGTTTCAAAATGGTGGAAGGCTAAGGGAAAAGATGAAGTTTGGTGGCAGCCACTGGCGGAACGGCCATGGTTGGAGATCCCGACGGCCGAGAAAAGTGGAAGCGACAGGCCATGTAGCTGCTATGTGAAGTGTTCGAGAAAGTGCTGCATGTGTAATATGTATATATGTGCTAAAATTGATCCTCTACTATTTCTTGTAAAAATTTGGCTGAAACAATCTTTTGAGTTTGTGGTGTACTTATATATAGTTAGGCCAATTTGTATATATTGACTAAGATAGACACGAATTTTGGTCTTCACTTCTTAAGCCACGTCGATTTTCATGGACTCCTTTTGCAAATATCGGTCATGATTTAAAAATTATTTTTTCTTCTTTCTAACAATATAGGAGACCGATCACGATATATTAAAGCAGAAGTTTGATATCTCAAATTAATTGTAAATAAATTTTCTTTGACATAATTATCTCGTCTAATAAGTTTTTTTTTTAATTAATAAAGTTAGTGTGAAGATAATGGGCCATTTACTCTCCTAGGACCAAATTGTAACTTTGAAATAAGTGCATCACTCAAACATGAAGTTTATCCTCGTTTGGCCCCCATTAAATTCCATTACACTACATTTTACTTTTCTCTATCCTATTTTCAACCACACAATCTTCCATAAAATAATATTACACGTAAATCAAAAAAATTTCTTTCTTTTTCAACCTTCTATTTAAAAATAAATAAATAAATTATTTCATCCATTTTCATTTCCAGAAAATAGTGGCCAAACGGGGCCTTAATAAAGGGCATAACTAAAGATGGTTGACTAGTTGCGGACAATTAGTTCAACAGCTAAACCTAAAGATACCAAACCTTTCAAAGACCATTAATATAAGATGCATTGAAAATTGATACCTCATTCCCAATAGTTCATAAGAAGTCCTAAAAACACGTAAGATAAAAAAAACATCGTTAAATTTTTAATGCTTGTTTTAAGTTTAAAGTACGTTCTGAAAGACCTCTCCATAATAGAAATCTAGCGCCTTTCTCAGTGGGTCGTCGGTAAAGTGCATACAAAAGCAAGACAACTTAGAAGTTTTTTAAAATAATCTCTTCTTCGTAAAGATAAATATAAGGTCTATGAAGCAATTACTTAAAGTACACTTCATACTACAGACACTCCTATAAAATAGAGAAGAATCCCATGATTCTGAACCAATCTTACATGGGACACCGAATTCCAAGTTTTTCTTTCACACTTAATTTTCCAATAACGTAAAACACGATCACACCGTCCTATGAGCGTCCTTGCTTCATAGTCTATAACAAACCAACATATACTAGATTGTGTTAGAATTAGGAGTATTTGACATGCCATCTAAATTCGGTCTATTTTTTATAAGTAATAAAGTATTTTACTGTCAAAATACAATATACAGAAAGTGTATTATTAGTTTAAACAAGAAAGAAACAACTGAATTTAGCCTTCTAAATTCAGTCCTTAGAAGAGTTGAATCAAAATAAATAATGAATGTACTTTTTACTTGAAAAATTATGAATTACAAAGAATGTGTAGCACTTCCATTTAGACATTTAACAGGACAAAAAACAAGGATATGATCATATGACCAATCCGATGAGTAGAATTTCCATTTAGGCATTTAACAGACAAAAAACAAGGATATGATCATATGACAAATCCGACGAGACCCTATACATTTTTGTCCCTGGAAGTTTACCCATGCGTAAAAAATCATGGAAACTGAAAGGACCCTCCAATTTGATTGTTACCTGAAGGGGGATTAATGGCAACCCAAAGGAGAGAAATAGTAATGGCAATAAGTCCCGACCAAACGAATACAATAGTTGGCGTCCTTCCTCGTCTTCCCATGAGTCCTTTTGCAAAAGGATAGAGATGAACCAACACCCAGAAGCTAAAGAACACCCCTCCAATCAAACGGCTCCACTGTGGTATGGTGCTGTATATAGTTCGGCTAAAACCAACAGCTATGGCGATTAAGTTGGTCATCATGATAGTGATTGGGGGAATCATCAAGGAAGTCCATTTTAAGATGTAGAGATCGGCAAATTCATCATCGTTATCATCACCACCAGATTTTGATGTCAATGTAAATGAGATCTCAATCCCAGCAATCACCTTCAGCAGTCCCTGAAGCACAGCAGCAAGATGAGCACTTGTCCCTCCAATCAACCAGAATTGCTCGTTACGCCACCATTCTTCCAAATTAATTCCCGACCACTTGATCTCGAGGACGGCAAGCATGCAAAGCGTCAGAGTGATGACGAGCAAGTACGTGAGGAAGGTGACATTTAGTGTCTGGACAATGAATTGGCCAGAAAAGAGGGACAATGCCGGAAGAAAGCAGTAAACAATTAGAAATAAGGACGTAAAAGGATAGATGCCAACGTTTAGGTATGCAACTCTCTGCAAAAGCTTCATCCTAGGACTAGCCAGAAAAGCATTATTACGTGAAAAGAAGATCTCGACTGAACCAGTAGCCCATCTTAGAACCTGATGAAGCCTGTCTGTCAAATTAATTGGTGCAGTTCCACGGAAAGCATCCCTTTTTGTTACACAATAGATAGATTTCCAACCCCGGTTGTGCATCCTATATCCTGTCACGACATCTTCTGTCACGGACCCATAAATCCAACCAACCCGATTGCCCCACTCAGTTTTATCTTCATACCAACATGAGATGACGCTGATTGCCTCCGCAACAGTGGATGCATCAAGAAGTTCCCTAGAAATTGTAAGAGCGCCAGGAGGTCGTCCATTCTTTACAGCCGGGTGATCTGCAAGTGGTCTGCCTTGAAATTCTGCCACTGGGATGGAATCAATAAGGAAATTGGAGTTTCCAAACCTTTTTGAAAAGAGAGAAGGATTCATTATGTCGTCATCAAAATCTCCCATTCGAAGTGCTCTGTGCTCCTCGGGCGCAGAAGAAACAGATGCACTTTTCTTACGACTAGCAAAGCAACAGCTGCAGCAACCCGAATGTTCTTTTGATCGGGGTGGGTCAAAGCCATAAAGTGCTGTCCGGCGAAAGAGGCATCCCGTGCCCACATAAACAGGACCCTGAAGGCCATCCAGAGCACGCATATTGACATCAAAGAAAACTGTATTATGATTAGCATAGCGATCAGATGGATCTATTCCCTCGAACCTTTGAGGAAACTGGACATAACAAATACGATCTCCACCACGGTCCATCATAAAACATAAGCCTTCTCTTATTGCCTGCGAGTTGTAGATGTAGTGATCGCAGTCGAGATTAAGTATAAAGGGACCATTAGACATGATGGCTGAGGCTCGAACCAATGCATTCATGGCCCCAGCTTTCTTGTTGTGGTCATACCCAGGGCGTTTTTCGCGAGAAACATACACAAGCATGGGAAGCCGAATGTCAACTTCAGTAAAATCAAGTGGACTATTGTCCACAGTAATTCCATGTAGAGGTTCATCACTTGGAGGTTTCAACATTACCTGCAAACAGAAAAAGAGCCAATTTTAACTCAGCACAAGGAAATCAAATAGTTTGTTATATATTTTGTACTGTTGATGGAAGCAACGAGAGAGATAAAGTGCTTTTAAATAGTAAAACGACTCAGAATGTTTCTTTGTCCATAACAAAATCAAGGGTACATAGATTAGATAACTGTTTCTTTCAGAAGTAAAAAATAAATAAATACCTGTATGATTCCAGCATGGTCACCCTTTGAATGTTCAGAAGAAGTAACCACCCAAGTGCCAGGCCAGTGGGTCCCATCTGCCATCCATGTTGCTTTAGAAACCTTCACAGGTTCCATTGGTTCATCCCCAGCAGTCTGTCTCTGAAGTTTCATGGCCTTGATTTCTTCTCGAGCATTATAGGCATCAGAACGTCGACGAATTGAGTCAGGAAGGCTATTGATTCGAACCTTGAATTCGTCATACTCGCGCTTAACCCTTCTACGATCCTTGACAAAGTCCTGGCGCACCTTATTCTTAAAGGGGTCTTTTTTCAGGGAAAAGTAAGTTTCTGGGTTTCTTGGTTCGATATCGTGTTTTCGACAGAACGGTACCCACAAATTAGCAAAACTTGCAGCTTCTGCCATAGCCTCGAATGTCAGGAGGGCACCTCCATCATCAGAAACATAGCAAGAAAGCTTATCAACAGGGTAATCTGCAGCAAGAATAGACAGAATAGTGTTTGCAGTAACAAGTGGAGGTTCTTTTTCAGGATCAGCGGTAGAAACAAATATATCTACCCCTGGAAGGTCAGATTTTCCAGTTGGATTGGCAGGACTAGGCGTCTCAAATTTTTCTTTCAACACGTTAAGGTCAGTAGCACGATTAACGGGGCATAACTTTGGAAGCTGATCAAGTAGCCAAGAGAATGCAAACCAGATCTCACAGATGACTGACATCAACCATAGCCATCTTGCATCCTCGTTAGGGTGGCTGATTCTCCATGACAGAAATAGTCCAAGAACAGCCATACGAACAAATATCAGAAGTCTGAGAGAGGCAAATTTTTACCCAAAAATGTTTATCAGCCTTTTGTACATCTTTTAATTCAAACAACATAAAAATAATGGCTTAACATACTGTTTCTCACCATGATGTTAAACCTAATTACAGGAATGTGAGCTTAAACAAGATGTTCATAGATCAGAAGTTCATATCATGTAACTATGATTTAGTGATCTCAACAAATATCTGAGAAAAGATACACAAGAAGTCGATCTAATCAGGATTTCAGTTCAGACAACCAAAACAAAAACCATTATACCACCCCAGACCAAAGCTTATTAACATTAAAATATCAAAGTTCCCGCCAATACTAGAACACCGAAAATGGAAATTGATATTTCAATTAAGCCAAATACAACTTATCAAAATGTATTTACAGGTACAAAGGCTCCTTAAAGAGAAAGGCAAAAGCTAAATTAGTAACAGATTAGACCCAGCAGAGCATCAATAGACATTCTCATACCATATATAAGGTAAAAACACCTATAAATTGTTACGGTCAGAGCATGAAGAATTATGGGCTCATATAATTCATAGAAGCTTCGTAAACAATATTTTTTTGTTCTGCATGGAAAGATGATAATGGATATTATTAGATTCATTA